TCGTGTACTTAACTATTTGCCTCTTGCGTGGCCGTTGGCCTCCCATCGCTGGTACTCTGGCCGAAGAGTGCTATTCCGTGGTTTGGCGCATTCACGCAGTCGTATTATTCCATCACCCGTGTTCCTGGTGAGGTTCCATCGACCGCGGTATCACGCTATCGTGCAATCGCGGTGTGGTAATGCTGTCTATGGTATTGTGCTCGCGTAGTGCACCTGCGTTGCCCGTGCTATTGTGTTTTGCAATGGCATCGTACTCCACAATGTAGAATCGTGGCCCCCCTAAGAGCCCCCTCGTTTATTTCGTGGCTGATCCACCGTCCGTGCAATCGTGTTCTCATGTACTACTGTCCTTCGTGGCTCGGTAAGCTCAGGTTCTACACTGGTATGGTGTTCCGTGGCTTGATGGTCTTCGGTCTAGGGTGCTATTCCGTGGATTGGTGCCTCCATGCAGTCGTGTGGTTCCGTCGCCCGTTCCATCGACCGCGTTACCATGCTATCGTGCAATCGCGGTATGGCAATGATGTCTACGGTAATGTGCTCGCGTAGTGCATCTGCTTTGCCCGCGTATCGTGTTCTACAATGGTATCGTGCTCCGCGGTGTGCAACCGTGGTATCCCGAATCGTTTCCCTGTGACTTCGTGGCTGGCACGTCGTCCGTGCAATCATGTTGTAATGCACTATTGTCCCTCGATGCTAGGTGACCTCAGGCTCTACACTGGTACCCGGCTCCGTGGTTCGGTGATTTCGCGTGGCTGCGTGTTCTCCCACGGTTTAGTGGTTAATCCAACGTCTATGCTGTCGTTTATGGCGTGGTGTTGACGTTGATCGGTCGTCCAGGCTATCGTTAGCTACCGTAGTATCGTGTGCCGTGGGTCGGTGGGCTGTTCTCGTATCGTACTCCAATGTTCAGTGATTTCCCGCTTATGCTCTCCCGTGAATTTGTGTTTGGCCGTCGACCGTGCTTCGGGGTAACCTGTGGTGGGAGAACTCCTTTCCGTGCACTCGCACAGCTGCGTGGTCTACCGTGACTGTGAACGTGCTCTCTCTTGGTCCGTGCTTTTTCAGCGTGTTGGCGTTTCATTATTTCAGCTCTCACCCGCTGTCATCTGATCGTGCGGCTCCGTGTTTTTCAGGCTCTTCCCTGGTTCGTGCTTCGTATGAAATTTCGTGGCCTATTCTTATTTCGTCCGTGACTTTCCGTACTTCAAGCTGTTCCTTCTATCGCGTTATGTACATGATCTGACTCGGTGTTCCTCCGTGTTTCGTGTTCTTGTTTGATCACGTGCCTCTACGCTAATTCAATCACAAACACTGCTCCCACTGCACTGCATGTATGTTACGTATCGTGTTCGAGAGGGCGCACATGCTCTTAGGGGTGCAAAATACGCGCTAATACAAAGAAAACGTTCTTTTTTAGTGGCGGAGAAGTGTACATGGTTATGTGCGGTGGAAGCCACTATATTCATATTTTAAATATTTAATATTAATAATAAATTGTGCATTTTCAATCAGCACATTCCCACTCTATCGAGCAAGACTCTGTATTAACCGCTCTGGATCCTACTCGTCGCCAAGCTCTACCCTCGAGGCGCATACACTTTTCCATCTTTGCCGCGCAGCAGTCCGATCTCCTGCTTAAGCGCTTCAACTTCTCTGGCCTGCAGCTTCACCAGCCGCACGAGCTTGTTGCGCTCCTTCATCTCGCGCTCAACCAAGGCCTCGTCTTCGTCAAGACTGAGTACACCGCCACTGTCCCCACTGCTACTGTCACCACCCTGATGACGATTGAGTTCGCGTTCCAGTTCGGCCTGACGCTCCGTGAGTGCAGCGATCTGAGCTAACAAGGCCGTGTTCTGCTCGGTCGCCTGCAGAATAGCGTGTTGCAGCTGCGGGTGCGTCTGCTTGGCACGACGCAGAGCTCGCTCACCTTCGACCTCGCGTAGCTTGACGCGAGTCTGCAGCTCGTCGACCGAAGACGCGTCACAAGCGCGATCCAGCACCTCCAGGTCCACTAGCTGTCCGAATTTCAGTCGCATGAGCTGCTCGCTGCGATCCTGAGCTCTTGCAATGGCTTCTTGCTGCTGACGCTTCTCCTTAGCAAGCACGTTCTGCTGTTTGTGAAGGTCTCGGAACTGTTGACGCAGCTTCTTGTTCTCTGCTTGCAGCGACTCGATACGCTCAGACAACGCAGAGAAGGCGCGAGTGGTGAACACGAGGCAGCCATCAGCTTGAGCAGGTAGCGTCCAGTTTTGCCGAGTCGGAGACGGAGCTTCAAGACAACATAGTTGCCGCGTACTGAGCGGCACTACGACGTCAAGCTGGTTGAAGCGCGACTGCTTTTCACTCTGGAAGTGCTGCGTATCCTGCTCCGTCGCAGCCAACTCCGTGTCAATCGCACGTTGCTTGGCTGTCTGACGCTCTCCGGCCTTCCGAAGCTCTTCGATCGCCTTGTTCAGCTCCCCCATGGCGTCGTCTACATCGGCACGCTTCTCACGCAGGGCCAGCACCTTCTCGTACAGAGTCAAGTCGCATCCCGACGGACATGAATCCTCTTCTTCTTCGTCATCGTCGTCGTCATCTTCGTCATAGTCTTCGTCTTCGTCCTCTTCTTCTTCATCGTCGTCTTCTAGCTCCTCGCCGTCTCTCGCACTGTCAGGCTCTTTCCCTTCTTCCTTGCCACCTGAAGCGGGTTTCTTCTTAGCTCGCTTGATCTTGCGCTTAAACAGCTTCTGCAGCGCCGCAAAGCTCGGGTGAGGTGTCGCACTTGACCCCGTGCCGCCGTTCACAAGCGTCAGGAACTCTGCTTGCACAGCCTTCTCCTGTCGCGCCCATTCATCCAGATCGCGTTTCTTGATCGTCAGCAGGTCTTGGACATCGCGCAGGTCCGCCACAATCTGCGCCTTTTCCCCTTTACTCTTCTCGAGTTTACTGCTCAACAGGTTTTCCTTGCTCTCGAACGACTCAAGCAGCGACAACTCGCTAAGGAGAGTGAACAGCCGAAGTTCCGCTTGCTTGAAGCCTACCTCGAGAGCGAGTTTCTCATGACGGAGGTGAGCCACAGCAGCGTCAAACGACGCTATCTCGCGTTGCTGCTTGCGCTCGAGCAGTAGCGCTTCTTGGCGCATCAAGTATTCATGGACAACCACGTCATCCTCGTCCATGTTTTCTACATTTAGAGCACCCGCGTGTGCAGACGAAGCCGTCGCAGCAGCTGCCGTACCGTCGTCCATCTGCAGATGTAAATGGCCAATGGTGACGCCCTTTGCAGCCTCCTTTCCCGACGTTCCTTCCAAAGCTCGTGCGACGGCAGCGATGGATCGATCTGCTGATTGCGGACGCTTCTCAGCCCCACCGATGCGCGTCAATGCCAAGTCCGCTTCGCCAGTCTGAGTCTGCACGTGTGATATCACCTTCTGCTCTCGAAGGAAGAGCTCAATGTCGGCGTCGCTTACGCGCTCCCGCTGCTCCGGCCACTCGCGAAGGTCCACAACTAGATCTTTGGACGACACGCTGGATGGTGTTGCGCCGCTGGACGCTAATGCGGCTCGAAGCTCGACTAGTCGTTCCTGGTCGCGATGCAGCTCGTTGATCAGCTGCACCTTCAACTCGCGAAGCTCCAGCACTTTGGCGTTGAATCGCAAGCGTGCGGCATACAGACTCTCCTCCAAGAGCGCCATCTGCCTCAATTTCTTCGCTGCGTTGACACGCTGATGTTCTGGAACCACGTAGTCTGGAGCCGTTTTCAGCTTGTAATCGCCCATGTTGCGTTGAGCAAAGGCGATCGCGACCACGTCTCTGGGATCGTCGGCATCTTCGCCTGGTTTGTTGCTCTGCCAGCGTGCCAGTCTCTCCTTTCGCTCCGTGCGCAGTCGTTTGCGCGCCTCGAAGCCGTGAACGGACTTTGACCCACTAGTCTCCTGTACTGCTGTCGGACCGCTTGATGCTGCGCAATTCCCACCGACAGCAGGATCGTTATGACTCATGAGCTTACGTCGCTCGTCTTCTTTTAAGGGAAAGTCCTCGTCTAGCGCAGTGTCCTTCTCCATGATATCTAATACCGACGCTCGTCTAGGTGGACCAGTCTTCGCTCCAGTAGATGGCTGCTTCTTGGCAGCAGCGTCGGCAGTGTGGATCTCTGCGAGTCGTTTCTGTAAAGTTGCCGGCATCTTCATGGTGCGGAAGGACTGGACACTTAATCCACTTTCAAACGCACGCAACGTCAGCAGCTTTACAGCGAGCGGACCCACGTACGTCTCTCGCATCTTAAGCAGTAGAATCTCCTCTTTCTCCACTGCAAACGCAAGCTCCTTGCGCACTTCATCGCACGCCTCATCGCCCTGTCGAGTCAACAGATCTCCATAGTCCAGATCAATCTCCCACTCCTCCGAGTCGACGCGACTTTGAGGTGGTAACGCCGCGTCTTGTGCCTGTAGCTCTTGAAGTTCAGTTCGCATCTGGCTCAATACAGCACGTGTCGAGTCCTGTTTACTCAGCGTAGACCTCACTCGGGCATCGGCTTCACTCTTCAGCTTGGCGTCCTCAATTGTGTACGCTTCCTTTGAGTTTGCGATATCCTCCACACTTAAGTGTAACAAGGCCGTAGCGAAGACTCCAGTTTGTGCCTTGCCATCATCTCGGGAAGGAGGTGTTGCCTTGGGAAGACCTTCAATACTCTTGTCATCACTCGCAAGACGGATAGCGCCGAGGTATTCCTCCTTGTCCTTAGCTGCAGCAACACGAGACGATAACTTGCTCTCGATGTAAGCAGCATAGGCTTTAGCTCCATGAAAAGCAGGCAGAGCGCTCAAGTCGGTATTTGCTGTTCTTTCACTGTTACTAGGGTCACGTGACGAGTCCTGTTTACTCAGCGTAGACCTCGCTCGGGCATCGGCTTCACTCTTCAGCTTGGCGTCCTCAGTTGCATACGCTTTCTTCGAGTGAATAGGTGATGGTAGGATTGCGATCCAGCGTCAATAACAGCGTTGTTGCCCGACATGTGGCCACCTAGGAAATAAGATAAAGCTGTCGGATCTCGTATTTGAATTTGAAGTTTGTAAGGCTATCTGCCAAAAGATTATTTCCCCGTACCACGTCACATATTTCTTAAAACTGCGACGTGGTACAAGCCTCGGTGGGAGAGAACCAGTCAAAAAGCCAAGAGCCATACCACCGACTCTCGTGGACTGTCAGTTCGCCTTACGACCGCTTAGAGTGCAAGCTGCTTGACACTGTCTAGGCTTCTACAGTACCACTAACGACGTCAAAGGCGCCGCCCTCCTCACTTCACGTCTGCGAATCGGCGCTACCGTTTGTAGACAGGTGAGGGAAAAAAGAACACATGTCCACCACTTTCGACCTGCTATGCCCAGTGACACACTGCCGATTCCACGTACAGTACGCTCTCAACTTGCTACTTATAGTCGATTTGGGTTCGCCGTGACTGAACAGGAGCTACCTACGGACCATCGTGAAACGGAGCACGAACTAACAGTGGAGAGACTCGACGCGAGTCCTGTCCGTAACGCGGCGACGTGAGGTGAGCACCTTCACGCCCTATGCGATGAAATACACACAAATGCGAGTGAAAAGCACACTAACGCCGTCTATCTGCACTGCCAAAGAGAATACGGTACCATGGCCTTGAAGGATACTTTTCCTGCCATGCAACAACGTCTCCACCGCTGGATTGGCGGCATTTTTCGCGGCCAGAGACGGAAATCAGGCAAAACGCTACGTTACTAGCTCGTGCCGAGTAGCGAAGTACCCCACCACATACCATTCACCACCCGAACCGGCCTACTGGGCGCGCTACGGCCACTTTGACGTCATTTTCTACAGTGCAACCGTGCCATGTTGCACAGGCCGAGGAGCGTTAAGGCCTACAATGTCTACAACTGGCCCGCTGCATGACCATGAACGATGGCCTCGACCATTGAACCAGCGGATAGCGGCTCCGTCAAGCCGGCATCACCGTGGATAATCACCGCAGAGGGTGTTGCGAGGCCAGCTGGAACATAATAACCATTATTGTCCATAGTGAAGATGACCCGATTGTGGTATCCACATGCGCTCCATGGCATGTGAACGTGGTGATGGTGCGCTGGAGGTGTGCGTAGTTGAAAGGTGGTGTGATGCTTTTACTGTAGAGTATGACTTTGCATGGATGGTCGACCGGATCGACCATGTCGACCATAGCATCAACGATTGTTGACTCGTTGCGAGACTGAAAATGGCCGTTAACACTGCGGGCACGGCCTCCACGTACGATGTGGAGGTCCGCGCAATGTCTACGCCGGCTCAACGCATTGCTAAGTGCATGGAGAGAAGGGGTCGCTGGCTACGTTTGCACTGGATCTGGGGCTTAGTGGTGGGAGATATGGTACGAAAAGATCTGTTCGGCGGTTTTGAGGTCTAATTTGGTGCATATTTTTACTCCTTCGGAGATTTAGCATTTGGAAAATGGCGAAGGGGTGGGAAGTATGTGCAGCTACACGCCGGGCAAGCTGGATCCCGCGGCCCCGGCCAGTGGTGACCCCAGAGCACCGTTTGGGGGTCGATCGAGGGTACTGGCTGCTGTTGTTGAAGCGCATGGGTTCAATGAGCTGGGTGTTTTTCGAGCTGCGAAAAAAACCCGTTGATGCGCATATGTCAGCTTGTTCACGCGGGGCTCCGAATGCGAGAGATAAGTATACACTCGTCTGCGTTTACGCCGTCTTGAGGCACCAGAGGGTAGGTATTCGTTCTGCGCTATTTGGCTCTTTGTGGCTCTTGTGGCTGTCGTGACAGGAGTGGGGTATCATGTTGTGGATAATGCGGGACAGCAGATTTCTTGTCGACACGGGTTTGCAGAATGCTCACGCGGGGCTCCGAATGCGAGAGATAGGTATACATGTCGTCTGCGCTTACACCGACTTGAGGAACCAGAAGGTGGGTATTTGTTCTGCGCTAGGTGGCTCTTTGTGGCTCTTGTGGCTGTCGGGACAGGAGTGGCGTCTAACGTTGTGGCTAATGCGGGACAGCAGGTTTCTTGTCGGCACGGGCTTGCAGGATCGGTAAACTGGAGGTGATTCAATGCGTTGAGTGGCAAAGATGAAGCCGACGGATCGTTGCTATGGAGTACGACGGGGCACTCACATGGTATTCAAGTATGGCGTGATGCTCCGATTACTGCTACACTGTCGATTGCGAGACAGCCGTGGGGCTGGAGGATTTTTAAACGCGCTGTGCTTTGGGTCGGATTATGGGTTCTACCAAAGATCAAGTTGTATTTCTTCGTGTATTTGCCTTATTTGAGTTGACATTGTGGTACCTTTTTACTCAACAGAATGAAACGTGGTTTGTACAAGCTCTACGCTGATTCAGAGAACGTTTTCTTGCAGCTGAATAGCAATTCGAGTCGATTTTCCACGTCACGTTTTGCTTCTTCGAACTTGAAAGCCGAACAATAGCTCATGACTGCGATTTGTGGAGCGCTGATGGTGTGATGCAGTATTTGCTTCCTTACCATAGAGTGTGTGAAGTTTGGAAGTCCTAAAATCACTGCAACACTAAATTTAGTGCACTTGGTCACTTGGTAAACACAGGTCACTCGTCTACAAATTGCTTCTCAATCATACTTTGCAGTACATTGATCGTCTCATCCCAGTGACAACAAAAAAGTTCAACAAAAGTTTATAGTTTTTCAGCGTTTTGGTGCTAACACCTCTCATTGTTGTTGCATGAATCTGCGGGTGCCGGTGTTACTAGCACCTGGTCAGCATTGGATTCATTCATATTCATGTCGAGATTCAAGTGCACGTTAGTATCGGAGCAAATTTTCACAGTATAATGCTGCCCATCGCAAGATCAGCATTGTACGGTACTTGTAATGTAGCGCCACTCCACTACAAGCACAGGTGTGATGGCAATGAGATCTGCAACCTCCAGTTTCAAGACAAGAGACTCGAATCTATTGCATATGCTGAAGTTTACGTGCGTTCTTATCACTCTGAAGTCAAGCAGGTCAGAAGTGATCGCAGTGGCTACAGCGAGTGGGTGCGTTGCAGCTCAAAACCGAAGGTCGTTGTCGGTTTTGAGCTCCAACGCACAAGCACCTCTCCACTCGATCTCTTTACCACAAACCTTTGACTTCGACTGCGTCTTGTCTTCCTGCTCGAACGATTCACTTTCGGTTTTGATTTCCACCACACAAGCGACCTCGCCACCTCAAGCGCTGCACTCAAGATAACCATTAGCCTCCATCAGCACATTCCCACTCTATCGAGCAAGACTCTGTATTAACCGCTCTGGATCCTACTCGTCGCCAAGCTCTACCCTCGAGGCGCATACACTTTTCCATCTTTGCCGCGCAGCAGTCCGATCTCCTGCTTGAGCGCTTCAACTTCTCTGGCCTGCAGCTTCACCAGCCGCACGAGCTTGTTGCGCTCCTTCATCTCGCGCTCAACCAAGGCCTCGTCTTCGTCAAGACTGAGTACACCGCCACTGTCCCCACTGCTACTGCCACCACCCTGATGACGATTGAGTTCGCGTTCCAGTTCGGCCTGACGCTCCGTGAGTGCAGCGATCTGAGCTAACAAGGCCGTGTTCTGCTCGGTCGCCTGCAGAATAGCGTGTTGCAGCTGCGGGTGCGTCTGCTTGGCACGACGCAGAGCTCGCTCACCTTCGACCTCGCGTAGCTTGACGCGAGTCTGCAGCTCGTCGACCGAAGACGCGTCACAAGCGCGATCCAGCACCTCCAGGTCCACTAGCTGTCCGAATTTCAGTCGCATGAGCTGCTCGCTGCGATCCTGAGCTCTTGCAATGGCTTCTTGCTGCTGACGCTTCTCCTTAGCAAGCACGTTCTGCTGTTTGTGAAGGTCTCGGAACTGTTGACGCAGCTTCTTGTTCTCTGCTTGCAGCGACTCGATACGCTCAGACAACGCAGAGAAGGCGCGAGTGGTGAACACGAGGCAGCCAGCAGCTTGAGCAGGTAGCGTCCAGTTTTGCCGAGTCGGAGACGGAGCTTCAAGACAACATAGTTGCCGCGTACTGAGCGGCACTACGAATTCAAGCTGGTTGAAGCGCGACTGCTTTTCACTCTGGAAGTGCTGCGTATCCTGCTCCGTCGCAGCCAACTCCTTGTCAATCGCACGTTGCTTGGCTGTCTGACGCTCTCCGGCCTTCCGAAGCTCTTCGATCGCCTTGTTCAGCTCCCCCATGGCGTCGTCTACATCGGCACGCTTCTCACGCAGGGCCAGCACCTTCTCGTACAGAGTCAAGTCGCATCCCGACGGACATGAATCCTCTTCTTCTTCGTCATCGTCGTCGTCATCTTCGTCATAGTCTTCGTCTTCGTCCTCTTCTTCTTCATCGTCGTCTTCTAGCTCCTCGCCGTCTCTCGCACTGTCAGGCTCTTTCCCTTCTTCCTTGCCACCTGAAGCGGGTTTCTTCTTAGCTCGCTTGATCTTGCGCTTAAACAGCTTCTGCAGCGCCGCAAAGCTCGGGTGAGGTGTCGCACTTGACCCCGTGCCGCCGTTCACAAGCGTCAGGAACTCTGCTTGCACAGCCTTCTCCTGTCGCGCCCATTCATCCAGATCGCGTTTCTTGATCGTCAGCAGGTCTTGGACATCGCGCAGGTCCGCCACAATCTGCGCCTTTTCCCCTTTACTCTTCTCGAGTTTACTGCTCAACAGGTTTTCCTTGCTCTCGAACGACTCAAGCAGCGACAACTCGCTAAGGAGAGTGAACAGCCGAAGTTCCGCTTGCTTGAAGCCGACCTCGAGAGCGAGTTTCTCATGACGGAGGTGAGCCACAGCAGCGTCAAACGACGCTATCTCGCGTTGCTGCTTGCGCTCTAGCAGTAGCGCTTCTTGGCGCATCAAGTATTCATGGACAACCACGTCATCCTCGTCCATGTTTTCTACATTTAGAGCACCCGCGTGTGCAGACGAAGCCGTCGCAGCAGCTGCCGTACCGTCGTCCATCTGCAGATGTAAATGGCCAATGGTGACGCCCTTTGCAGCCTCCTTTCCCGACGTTCCTTCCAAAGCTCGTGCGACGGCAGCGATGGATCGATCTGCTGATTGCGGACGCTTCTCAGCCCCACCGATGCGCGTCAATGCCAAGTCCGCTTCGCCAGTCTGAGTCTGCACGTGTGATATCACCTTCTGCTCTCGAAGGAAGAGCTCAATGTCGGCGTCGCTTACGCGCTCCCGCTGCTCCGGCCACTCGCGAAGGTCCACAACTAGATCTTTGGACGGCACGCTGGATGGTGTTGCGCCGCTGGACGCTAATGCGGCTCGAAGTTCGACTAGTCGTTCCTGGTCGCGATGCAGCTCGTTGATCAGCTGCACCTTCAACTCGCGAAGCTCCAGCACTTTGGCGTTGAAGCGCAAGCGTGCGGCATACAGACTCTCCTCCAAGAGCGCCATCTGCCTCAATTTCTTCACTGCGTTGACACGCTGATGTTCTGGAACCACGTAGTCTGGAGCCGTTTTCAGCTTGTAGTCGCCCATGTTGCGTTGAGCAAAGGCGATCGCGACCACGTCTCTGGGATCGTCGGCATCTTCGCCTGGCTTGTTGCTCTGCCAGCGTGCCAGTCTCTCCTTTCGCTCCGTGCGCAGTTGTTTGCGCGCCTCGAAGCCGTGAACGGACTTTGACCCACTAGTCTCCTGTACTGCTGTTGGACCGCTTGATGCTGCGCCATTCCCGCCGACAGCAGGATCGTTATGACTCATGAGCTTACGTCGCTCGTCTTCTTTTAAGGGAAAGTCCTCGTCCAGCGCAGTGTCCTTCTCCATGATATCTAATACCGACGCTCGTCTAGGTGGACCAGTCTTCGCTCCAGTAGATGGCTGCTTCTTGGCAGCAGCGTCGGCAGTGTGGATCTCTGCGAGTCGTTTCTGTAAAGTTGCCGGCATCTTCATGGTGCGGAAGGACTGGACACTTAATCCACTTTCAAACGCACGCAACGTCAGCAGCTTTACAGCGAGCGGACCCACGTACGTCTCTCGCATCTTAAGCAGTAGAAGCTCCTCTTTCTCCACTGCAAACGCAAGCTCCTTGCGCACTTCATCGCACGCCTCATCGCCCTGTCGAGTCAACAGATCTCCATAGTCCAGATCAATCTCCCACTCCTCCGAGTCGACGCGACTTTGAGGTGGTAACGCTGCGTCTTGTGCCTGTAGCTCTTGAAGTTCAGTTCGCATCTGGTTCAATACAGCACGTGTCGAGTCCTGTTTACGCAGCGTAGACCTCACTCGGGCATCGGCTTCACTCTTCAGCTTGGCGTCCTCAATTGTATACGCTTCCTTTGAGTCTGCGATATCCTCCACACTTAACTGTAACAAGGCCGTAGCGGCGACTCCAGTTTGTGCCTTGCCATCATCTCGGGAAGGAGGTGTTGCCTTGGGGAGACCTTCAATGCTCTGATCATCACTTGCAAGACGGGTAACGCCGAGGTATTCCTCCTTGTCCTTAGCTGCAGCAACACGAGACGATAACTTGCTCTCGATGTAAGCAGCATAGGCTTTAGCTCCATGAAAAGCAGGCAGAGCGCTCAAGTCGGTATTTGCTGTTCCTTCACTGTTACTAGGGTCACCTTCTCCCTTGTCCTCCATCGCCTTCCGCTGCATTGTTAGCACTGAGTCTTGCTTCTCACGAGCCTGGTCACGCGCGATATCGGCCTCAGCCAGTATACTCTTGTACTTCACAGTCAGCAACTTGGCCGCTTCCTCGACTCTGTTGCTGTGTACTCGACATATGCTCACGTTGCCATCACTTCCCACAGCGACGACGTACGAATCGTCATAAGACGTTGCTAGATACAGTTTGTCGTTGCTAGTGGAGGCTGCGTAGTCATGGAACTCACCACTAATGAACGCGTGGGGTCTCCGTGCGCTGCGAAGCTGGAACTTGCCATTCGACAGACCGCACAAAATAAATCGCTCGGATGATGATAACGAGAGTGAGGTGATATGGCCAGCAGACTCCGACGCCAGCTCCTGTAGCGGCATAGAGCGGTCGTGTTGAACGATGAAGAGGGTCCCGTCTAAAGGTGCTTGGCAGCTGAGATAGATGCGATCTTCAGTGTCTTGCTCAGTCACGGGTGTAAATAGAGCTGCTAACGCCTTCGCTCTGCCATTCGCAGGTTTGACTTCTACTTGGAACTGATTCCGGATCTTTTCTTCAGTCTCGGGAGAGCTGACATTCGGGTATTGAGCTTCAAGTATCTCCAACTCCTTGACAGTCATGAAGCGGTTCCGTTGTTGCAGCACCCACTCGCGAGTTGACAAGTGAAGTTCAAACGATTCTCGTTCAGCCGAGACTTCACTCTGAAACATAGACTCGTCAGTTGTCGTAGTGTCCGACTTCTCTCCAGTATTCCCGTCTAGTTCGCCCGACACAAAGTATTCCAACACCTGACCGTTTGCGAGTGTTACTAGCACTGCCGCATCATCATCGCGCCAACAAATGGCAGCCACAGAGCCAGGTACGTGCTGGAAGCCGTAGGGCTCATACTCTGGCTGGTATTTCACATATTTAGATGACTTGATGTTGGGCACAACGTGGAAGAGGAAGAAAGTCCCATCGGCACTAGCCGACACAAAGGCAGAGCCCGAGTGTGAATACGCTACGCAGGTGACACGTTTGCGGTGTGGTTTGAATACATTGAGAAGTACCCACGCGCGATGATCCACATCCATTAGTAGGATGCGTACTAAACCGTCATCAAAGCCCACAGCTACCTGTCGACTCGATGGTATGTTATCGTTGATCACTGCAGCACTGTTCGGCACCCATGCGATGGTTGTAGCGGCCCCCAGTGTCGTGTAGTCGACGTTATCTTGATCTTCGAGGCATGATAACTCAGGAAACACAGCCAGTAGACAAGTACCTGAGACGTAGTCCCACGCACGAACACCACCATCTTCACCGCAGATAACTGCAAGATGTTCGTAAGGCGAACACGCAATCCCCGTCGCACGACCCGTGTCGTTGGCGACATAGTCCATTTCGACGTGGTGCTCGTCATTGTTGATAAGCAGCAACAAATGCACACCACCAGCACCATCCTGCAAAAGATATCGTCCCGTGTCTTGCTTGACCACAGCTCGGATATCCATTTGAGGCATCACCAGCACTTGACGTTTCATCGGGACAAGTGCAACAGTCTCATCCACCGGAACATCTGCGCTATCAATCGAATCGAAGCTCCAGAAACGCACGTAGCCATCTTTTCCTGCCGTCACAATGTGACTCTCATCCTCATCGAAATCCACAACATTGATCGTTCCAGCGTGAGGAAGATGACGACGCGATGTCATGATCTCGCACTTGATAAAGTTGCCATCCCAGAGCAAAAGTATACCGCGTTCTGTGCCACTTAATACTTTTTTATCGGGTAATACACAAAAAGCTTCAATGTCACTAAGCTCGCTCTTGCCGAATTTACCGATATCTCCCTGTAATTTAAGACCAGTGAACGTGGCTGCCATTTTCCAGAGACGAATATGACCAACGCCACTGGTAGCGAGGAAGCCGCTGTCTGTCGGAGCAAAGCGAACACTAAACACGTCTTGTCCGAAGGCCTTGCATCGAAGTACAGTCTGCTCCTCACGCCATTTCCACACAGTTAATAGGAAGTCAGGGCCACTACCCACAGACGCTAAGGTGTCGCCGTCTTTGCTGAATTCCACGCTGGCATACGCACGCTCTGTTCCGTTCCGTAGTACGTGAGATACCGATATTTCCGGGTATCGATAGATGGAAATATTAGGTTTCACTCCCTTTCCACCGACAGCAAAGAACTGCCGAGACGGGTGCACCGCGAGACTACCAATGCCGCTACCGCCGAAGCCAAACACATAGCGTCGGCTCTGTATATTTGAGCTAGAAGCTGCTACTTGTGGACTCATTGTCAACAGTTGGACTGTGTTACCCGCTGCTGTCAGCAACACACCGCCATGCACACCCACTATAGCAGGCTCCAAAAGGTGTAAGATGTGGCGCTTGCCCGTGTCGAGACCGCATATGTCGGCGAAGACGAGGTGATCTCTCGAGATCTCCCAGTTGGACAGTGGGCGCACGAGCTGCGAGGTCACATAGTCTAAGGCTTCCGGCTCAACCTCTTGGGCGCTTTCATTCTGTTCTTGAGCAGTTGTTGCAGATGTAGCGTCTTCTCCAAGCTCTGCGTATTCCATCCGAATCGGTATCAAATGTCGCTTTAAAGAAATGGTCGACCGTTCATGTCGAGCCCCCCGGCTTCAACACTTTCACATGTAACGGGTGAATGTACAGTCAGCGAGGGTCAGCGTTCTTCAGTTTGGGACATATTATGGTCTTCTAGGTTTAAGAACAATTCGCTTTTTTACCAATCACAAGCTCTGATTTGTCGGCTGAACAAGCTACTATTAATAATACTACAGTACTACTTAATACAACTATAGTACTTCAAAGTAGTAAACTACTACGCTGTATGTTGTATGAATTCATGGTATTAATATGTCAAATTAATAATACCGTAGTGAAGAATTTCGCGCTCCTTAGTACCTGTAAAAAAAAGTAGTACTATCGGAGTACAGTAGCAATTCTTCATCCAGCAAGTATTACTAGTACTGAAAAATATCGTGGTATCTTAACCCCTTGGTTCCCAGCGTCATAACTTACGGCTTTACGAAATCGTACGTCGTAAGTTACGACGGTCACTTTTTTCTTGCCCAAAGAATAATCTGCTGGAGGTCACACGGGCAATTGCAGAAATCGGACAGGGCTAGGTAATGTAAAGGCGTGGGGTCCGACTCGCAGCTGATGCATTCATCATTCCAGAATTTCCTCGATAACGCGCATCAGATCCGCTGGACTCCAGAAACCCGCCGATACTCAACACGACGTCGACTTTCGACATCTCTGGAGGCAGCTACGAGAGGTGGGATGGAGTTCCAGACGTCCCAAGGGCCTCGAGACCGACTGGACCAATATGAAGCCTGGTAGTTCGGCAGATGGCACGGTTGTAGTCGACTTCTTCGTTGGTGAGGCTGCCGTAGTGGCGCATGTCATTGAGGCTGGATTGTTGGTAACTAAGGTGAGCTGTTCATTTGCGATACTGAGTAGAATGTAAGACTAAGACTGATGATCGTTGCAGGATGAAGCGGCTGCAAACGATAAGAGCCACGAGAACCAGATCCATAGTGAGGAAGAGGTTGGGGATCAATGTGAAGGGCAAGCCCGTGAAGATGCATTGCAGGACGAGAGTTTGGTGCGGGCGTCCCAGATCAACACCAACGTGGAGCTCTCCCAACACACAATGGATGCATTTCTTGGATCCCTAGCACCGAGTGAAGTGGCGCTATCACAGGGAGCTGTAGCTCGTGCATTTGACTTTCCGCAAGTTGGCCTTCAGGGAGATGTTTCCGAGCCGGATGTACTGGAGGGCAAGTCAATTGCAGCACTTGTCAGGCGCTTTGGGAGCTGAAAGTTTGGAGCTAGATGTGCCTATAACCAGGCAACTTCGCCCGCGACGCCAGTTCAAGCATGATGTAAAATTTATGGAGAAGAACGAGAGCCCAAGTGATTACGAGCAGCTGAGCTCGGGAGAAAGCGACGGTGATGCAATAGCAGACAATGATGATGATCCTCTGGAGCTCCGAGGAATCGATGAAGATGACGATGTCATCTCGGATACGGATGCACCTGAGCTGGACGAAGCATTCCTGGCCTCGCTAAGACTAGGAGACGATGAAGGACTAAGCCGAGAAGCCCTCGCAAGAAGAAAAGAAGCTCTCCGGACAATGCGTTGGACGCCACCTTCATCGAACTTCGAATTCGCAAACGCATACCCGGGTCTTACCGGTGAAGAAGCACAACCAGTTGCTGACCTACGGAAGCTCTGCAATTCACCCCTCGAAACCTTCTTTTTCTTTGCACCGAAGTCTATGTGGGTCAGCATTTGCGAAGAAACGAACCGTTACTGCTCGCAGCAGATCCTCCCCAGAGCCGAGCGGATGCGCGCGAAGCAGACCGAGCGACGAGGGACGCCAACGGAATCGGTGAAGCAAATACGACGTCAGCTCCGAATGAAGCCAGATTACGGAGCGCACGAGCTTCTCCATGTGATGGGTCTGCTGGTAGCCCATATGCTGTGCCCTCCACACCGGCGATTTGCGCAGCACTGGTCCATGGCAGAAGACAGTGCCGTTCCCGCCGGGACCTTCGGCAGATATATGGCACGGAATAGATGCCAAGACATTTTTCGAGACTTGCATTTCGCTGATAACGAAAGCGATCAGACTCGTGACAAGTTGAGGAAGCTTCGTCCGGTTGTCGAGGAGTTACAAGAGCGTTTACTGGCCGGTTGGACGCTGCCTGCAGGTTTTTCGTTCGACGAGGGCGTTCTGCCAGCGACCTCTCGACGAAACACCACCAGGATGTTTGTGCCGGACAAGCCGCACAGATACGGCTCCAAAATGTTTATGACGTGTGACAGCAAGATGGCGTACTGCCACAGGTGAAACTATTTTTTGTTGTTGAATTTTCAATGATGTAACTTACGACTTTAAGGCTGACCTCGTTCTGCTTTGTCGTAACTTTATAGATTCGAAATTTACGTTGGTAAAATGAAAGCTCGCGAAGATCAGGCCGACGCATTTGATCACAAGACGGGAGCTGCAGCAGTAATTCGCAACCTCAAGGTCGTGCTCGCAAACGATCGCCAAGCCTTTCACGCAGTCACGATAGACCGATATTATTCATCAATCCCGTTAGATATTGAGCTGCTATCGATGCACGTGTACGTCGTGGGAACGATAATGACTAGGCGACTCGGGTATGACCGCAACGTTATCGAGCGACGAAAGACCCGGCCAAGAAGTATCCCGCGGGGCTCGTTCACGTTTTCACGCTCGCTGACTGTGCCAAACTTGATCGTCTTCCACTGGTGGGATCGTAAACCGGTCCACTACCTGTGTACAGGGTCAGTGATGACAGCATCCATCATCAACCGCAACGTGAAAGGAGAAGGGCCAACGACGGTGGCGTGTCCAAGGGCAGTCAACGATTACCAAGAATGGATGGGCGGAGTGGACGTGCATGACCAACTCCGCCTCCAAGCCTTTTCGATCCAGACGTCGGTTCGTTTTGCAAAATATTACAAGAGCCTATTCTTAGGTCTCATTGATTTCGTCATGGTGAATTCCGAGGTACGAATCCTGGGAATCAAGGGGTTAAACAATTAAATCGTTGCGTTGTTCGCGTCTGAAATGTGTGCCCGCGTCCGGAATATCGTCACGTCCTCGCCGCGACCCTATAGAGGGATCGGACGTAGGTTCGGTCGCATAGAGTCGATCTGACATGACGCCATTATTGACGAACATAAATATTACAGCTTTTGGTGCCTCGTTAAATAGCATCAATGACACGAAGCTTAAAAACCTGCCTTGGGCCAAAGTCGCTAAAGCTCACATTAAAAAAAGTCGGGTACAACAAGTGTTCGTGTAAGCCTCGATATACTTAAACTGCCCTCGATGTGCTTCCCAGTGTCACAAACAACTTAAAAGTCACACACCAACTCGACTAAGTACGATCAAAGGATTATCCGGAGTTGTCTGTACTGTTACACAAAACAGTGGATTTGTTTTGCTTAATTTATCCCCCAAAATTTAAAAAAAAAGAAAAAAACGATTTTAGCCCAAATTGAAAACAGCAAATATTTTATTTTTTCATTTTACAATAATGTCTTGCCGCATTATCCCTACGCTATGGCAAAAGATGGAGCTGGTACTGAGCTGTTTACTCGCGTTCTAACGTGTCTCGATGCGGTAAGCATCGCGAGACTCTTGCAAGTGGAGAAACGAAGTCGCAGGAGCGTCCGGAAGCTGTTCTCGACCATCGAAACGATACGCTCTCGTGTGGCATTAGCGTCTTTGTGTTTTTCTCGTCTACGTGTGGAGTTTTAAGCGTATTACCAAGTGCTAGAGACTCAAAACATTCCTCGATCGAACGATCCTCGTGTACCTCCCCGTGTGGTCCCCCTTTGGAGCGAAAGGGGTCAGGTGCGATGAATATTTGCGGCTGGTGAGTGGGTAATTAGAGGGTACTAAGTCCGGGTTGGTTCTTGCCTTTTGAGTAGGTTGCTGGAGGAGCAGTGTCATTGAAGCCAGTAGAACTGCCGGACGTGCACGCAAATGGATTAACTGCTCACTTTTTAGCAGCGTCCAATACTGCAGGAAATCGACCAATGCTCATGAACGTGGTGCAAACCAACCGTCGGATTTATACAATGATCACGGTGAAGTTGCTGCAGTCTGGTGATAATCAAGACAGGAATGATACTAGCACTGAGCTGGTGCTACGTAGTTACTCGTACCTCAAGGAGTTTGGGGAATGGAAGACGCCGACACTTCCAGAGAAACACAAACTGGCAGCAGCCAATTTTGGAAGTCACCGAGGTCAATTCGATCTGATCTCGCAGGATGGCAGTGTGGATTTGGGATTGGAAGTACCGAGGGGTACAGATGCCCAGATAGATTATTATTTGGTGAAACAAGCCACAGTGTCCATTCATATCCAAGAGCTTTTGCAAGTTTATTTTATATCGCTACGGCCGATTAAATCTTTGCCTGAACCTTCGCACCGCGAAGCATGCAACATTTCGATCACACTTCGGTCAATAGCAGGGAAACTAGTTACACGTTGTTGTGTGCCTGGGTATATTACGGTCGAACAGCAACAAGTTCAACTGAAAGTACTACACCACGCAACCAATCAAGACAGCGAACTGGGATCGAGAATTTTGAGGTTGTAACGTGTCGAGGCAACTGTAACTCAGACAAGAGAACCAAGGTTAACCTTCCCACTGACCCAGGCTACGCGTGGCTCGAGGTGCGAAGTATGAACGAAGCAGCTTTATCGAGACGGTCGTGTCTCTATTATTACGCTGTAGCGCTTCATCACGGTGCTAAGAAAGTCCCAGGAAGTGGAGATTCGCGAGCGATGCAGTTCAATTGGCTGCCAGGCTTACTCGAATCATTTCCCACACTGGAATCTCGGCAACGGCGATGTCTGAAGGGCAACCTACGCATGATGACTTCGTCGAACGGTAGCATGTTGCAAGAACTGACGCTAGTAGCGCAGAGATTGCCAACAGCGAGGCTAGAACGATATGCAGCTCGGATCGAGTCGTACACAAGACATGAGTCATAAGCATTTCAAGTAATAGATTGTCTGCCGTTGACTGGCGTCCCGAAATCAGACGTCTTGACAAGGAAGGACAAGTTGCGCCCCGTTCGATGTCGTTGAATCAGCGCCATCAAACTTGATTCAAAGGAGACAAGTACTACTACTGCTAGAGGCAACAACACGTCCTCCAAACTACAGCTTCTGCTCTCACGCATCATTGAACAACTCAGTGTAACTTTGCAACCACTTCGTTGCTGTAAAAGTTTCGTGCACCTGAAACCGTCAATTGAAGTCGCGCAAAAGTAATATATACCCTGTGTGAAACTGCAGAAGTTTGTATGACTCGAATTAGAATAATACAATCTGATTTCATCCAAGATATCAAACGGCCACGTGCGTATGTGTCATTTCCGCATTTGCTCCATCCAAGACACACGTCTTCTGTCAATACTATCGCAACCATGTCTAAGGACTTGAAATTCCCGGAAGACTTTATGTGGGGCACTGCCACTGCCTCGTACCAAGTGGAGGGTGCTAGCAACGAAGGTGGACGCGGCGACAGCATCTGGGACGCCTTCTCTCGGACACCCGGCAAGATCGTGAATGGAGACACGGGCGAGAAGGCGGTGGATCATTATCATCGCTACAAGGAGGACGTGCAACTTATGAAGAAGATGGGACTCAAAGCTTACCGTCTCTCCATCGCTTGGCCGCGGATCATCCCCGCAGGAGTCGGCGCAGTGAACGAGGAAGGCGTCGAGTTCTACAACAACCTCATCAATGAGCTACTGGCCAACGACATCACGCCCCTGGTAACGCTGTACCATTGGGATTTACCCTTAGCTCTGCAAACCGAGTATGACGGTTGGCTTGGTGGCAGAGTCATCCAAGACGCCTTCGTGCAATACGCTCGCGTGTGCTTCCAGCGCTTCGGAGACCGTGTGACCAACTGGTTGACGTTGAATGAGCCGTGGTGCTCCGCCTTTCTGGGCTATGGCAATGGTGTTCATGCTCCAGGACGCAAGTGGAAGCCACACACGGAAGTGTATCTTGCAGGACACAACCTGTTGCTGGCCCACGCGCGTGCTGTTGAAGCCTACCGCAACGAGTTCCAAGCTACACAGAAAGGTAGAATTGGCATCACGCTGAACTGTGATTGGCGCGAACCAGCAGCGACGGATGATCCCGTGCAAAAGGCTAAGAACGAAGAAGCGGCGGAGCGCTCGTTGCTCTTCTTCCTGGGATGGTTTGCGGACCCGGTCTACAAAGGAGACTACCCGCAAGTCATGAAAGACCGATGTGGACTACGTCTACCAACGTTCACTGAAGACGAGAAGAAGTTATTGAAGGGCAGCTCGGACTTCTTCGGTCTAAACCACTACGGTACCAGCTACACTGAGCCATCAGATGAGTATGAGGCCAAGATCGCGCCACCGGATGATGCTACTGGTGGCTATGGACTCGATGAAGGCACCAAACTGACGTCGGATGACTCGTGGAAGCGCACGGACATGGGCTGGAACGCTGTAGGTTGGGGCTTCCAGAAGCTGCTGGTCTGGATCCAGAAGCGTTATGCAGTGTCCAACGGCATTCTAGTCACAGAGAATGGCTGCGCGTGGCCGGATCGTACCAAGGAGGAGGCTCAGAATGACGATTTCCGTGTGCAGTTCTCTAAGGAATATCTCACTGGACTACACAACGCTATTGCGGAAGGCGCAGATGTCCGTGGATACTTCGCTTGGTCTTTTATTGACAACTACGAGTGGGCGGAGGGATACACTAAGCGCTTTGGACTGCACTGGGTCAACTACGAGACCATGGAACGCACTCCTAAAAAGTCGGCGCTCTGGTACGGCGACGTCATTCGCAATAACGGATTCGCTGCTTAAGTGGGGAACAGTCGCTGATACATTGAAGGTGCAAGTTGCACTCCCGTCGTGTGGAGCAGCAAAGCAATTGCAGTTTTAATGCTGCCTATCGTGTCGTAGGAAGCTGGGGAGCTCTCTCTTGCCCAAGTCGAGAGCGTAGATATTGGTAAAACTACATTGTTGCAAAAGTTCAACAGCTGCAACAAGAGCTTCAACCACGACTAAAATGATTGTCCAACAGACACCTTTAAGGCTGATATCCGTCGTTTATGCTCAATTTACCATAAATGAGCTATATTCACAGGACGGATGTCATGGGATGCGACGATTTGCTCAGCGATTATGCTAAAAAAAATGTCTTGCCGCGAAGAGCTCACTCCGCAATTTCGCTTGACCCTCAAGAGCTTCAACAACTGTCGACTGCGCAATGACCAAGGAGATCCGATTTCCCGATAAATTCATGTGGGGTGCCGCTACTGCCTCGTACCAAGTTGAGGGTGCAGTGAATGAAGGTGGCCGCGGTGCCAGCATCTGGGACGCATTCTCACACACTCCGGGCAAGACCAAGAACGGCGAGACGGGCGACGTAGCCATCGATCACTACCACCGTTACAAGGAAGATGTGGCGCTTATGAAGAGTATGGGGCTCAAGGCTTATCGCTTCTCCATCGCCTGGCCACGTATCATTCCGGCCGGGGTGGGTGAGGTTAACGAGGAAGGCGTCCAGCTCTACGACAACCTCATTAACGAGCTACTCGCTAACGGAATTGAGCCCATGGCTACGCTGTACCATTGGGACTTGCCATTGGCATTGCAGACGGAATTCGATGGCTTCTTGGGTGAGCAGATCCAAGAACACTTCGCTCAGTATGCTCGAGTGTGCTTTGATCGATTCGGTGACCGTGTCAAGAACTGGATCACAATGAATGAGCCATGGGTGGCCAACTACATGGGCTTCGGTTCGGGTATGTTGGCTCCAGGACGTAAGCACAACAAGCACTTTGAGCCATACCTTGCGGGTCACAACATGCTACTAGCACACGCTCGGGCGGTGGACGTGTACCGTAAGGAATTTCAGGAGACGCAAGGTGGTCAAATCGGTATCACGCTGAGTGCTGAATGGAAAGAGCCTGGCCCTACCGACGATCCGGAACAGAAGGAGAAAAACGTCGCTGCAGCGGAGCGTGCGATGGCGTGGAGCTTCGACTGGTTTGCCGAACCAGTGTATTTTGGCGACTACCCGCAGGTCATGAAAGACCGCTGTGGTGATCGCCTGCCGAAGTTCACTGAGGAGCAGAAGAAGCTACTGAAGGGCAGTTCCGACTTTTTTGGGCTTAACAACTACAGTTCGTGCTATGTCAAGCCGTCACCTGAGTTTGAGGATGGCGTCTTACCTCCGAACGACAACACTGGCGGACTTGAGGCCGATGAGGGCGTCACCGGATACCAAGATCCGTCCTGGGTGCAAACTGGAGCGCCATGGAACTACGTGACGCCTTGGGGACTAAAGAAACTCTGTTTATACATCCACGAGAAGTATCACCCGAAGAACGGCATCTACATCACGGAGAATGGTTCGGCCTGGCCGGATGTGACGAAGGAGGAGGCCCAGCAAGACACCCAGCGTGAGGATTGCTACCGCCAGTACATTGCCAATGTTCACGAGGCGATCACGGAGGGTGCCGATGTCCGCGGCTACTTTGCATGGTCGTTCTTCGACAACTACGAGTGGTCAATGGGCTACGGCATCCGTTTTGGCATGGTCTGGGTGGACTACAAGACTCAAGAGCGCGTGCCGAAAAAGTCATCGTACTGGTACAAGCAAACAATCGCGGACAACGGGTTCAGCATCTAGGCTTCTACGAGATTTTTGTTTCCGTACTACATGAACGGATACTTCTGCTGCTGGGTTAAGAGCTGCTATTGCTTAAATAAATTATATGAGGTGAACAATCCTATGATCGTACTTAGTCGAGTTGGTGTGTGACTTCTAAGTTGTTTGTGACACTGGCTTACACGAACACTTGTTGTACCCGACTTTTTTAATGTGAGCTTTAGCGACTTTGGCCCAAGGCAGGTTTTTAAGCTTCGTGTCATTGATGCTATTTAACGAGGCACCAAAAGCTGTAATATTTATGTTCGTCAACAATGGCGTCATGTCAGATCACACATCTCAGCCGCGAACGACGCAACGATTTATTAATAATTGTTTAACCCCTTGATTCCCAGGATTCGTACCTCGGAACCGTTAAGCGAACGTCGTAACTTATGACGTATTCTTTATCAAGACGTTTGTACGAGTACACGAAGCTCCGTCAGTTGTACCGAAGCTGGTACTATCACTTTCGCACGACATAAAGTCATGCTACTGTAACAGTTCATTCAGTAGGCATAAATGGCACTGCCGAATAGAGTTGGCGACTGCGAATCATTTGGAAGTGTTGAAATTCGATATCGATATATACCAGTAACTTGTCTTTCTGCTCCCCAAATGCGACAGCATATGGCGACTTTGTCCTGCACAGATAGCCTAACGAATTTCCTTACCTCGTACGTTTCACACACACACACCCCTTCCTATCAACTAGGCAACTTCACTACTACAAGTAGTAACGGACGCGCCCTATTAGAGTCCGGACTATATTTAATAGTGCCGCTAGAGAGGACTTTAAACGGGTGAGGACTTTATTCCTTGCTGATATGATTCGAAAACCAGGTTAATATCGTCTAACGCATCATCTAACTCTAAAGGATTTAACAGATCGACGTCTTCGTCCATATGCGGCTCCTTCGACCACTTTTCACGAAATTTAGCGCCATTCACATCGTGCTTGGATATAAACCACGACGAGGGGTCTCTCGAGAAGCCTGCTATTTCAGCGCTCCGCATGATTGTTGCCTCATCCGTGTCTCGCCACGCGCGGAGGCCTCAATCGCAAACGGTGTCAACACTTGGCATACGTGGGCTACCAAAGCGAGTGCATTCGACTCGGTCCGACTCTTTCCAAGCGTTATTTCCATGTACAGTAGGTCCTTAAACGACATATTTAGTCCACTTGATCACCTCTTGCTTACGCTCACTGCTAACCGACTGCCTTTGATGAGGCATTATTGGAAATGGCGGAAAAGTGTTTCTCTCTGTAGAATGGATGGTCAGCAAGTTTGTAATAGCAGATTTGGTAGCTTTTATAAGGACTCTATTCGGGAGAGGCTTGTATTTAATAGTGCAGGCATGTAGCACCCCACAGGACACTATTCGGTAGGGCTTTTATTCGGGCGCATCCGTTAGTATGCTATTGGCTATTAGCATTGCTGGTGTTGTTGTCGAAATCTTACTTGTAGCACTTCCACAAACCGTCGTTGAAATCGTCATTGATTTTTGCACTCTTCATCTGGATGAACGGACGACCATCTCGGTCATGGTGCGTGTCGGTGATAACGTGACTCGCACTCCGCGAATAGCTTTCCGGCTTTTGTTTCCAGGTCAACGCTATCAGTGGCTTACACTACACACTGTGCGATACACAGCTCATGACAGCATTGGTCATGCCTGGCCTTCGTCAAAAACGGTCGTTTGAAGGGGTGTAGTTGGAGCTAGTACGCATTGAGTATACATGCACATGTAGATTCTTAAGAAAACATTTTTATAATAATGTGTTGCCATACCTGTAAATCCGTGAATGTGAGCTCGGGCAGAGATCGAAAATAATAATTGTGATTCAATAAATGATTGGGTTTTGCAAAATAAATTTGTATTATTGGTAGCTGACCTTATCAATACAATATGGTATTGGACCAATTATTCACAATAAATATGGCAAAAGGTTCCCTGGTAGGAACCGTCTAATTATTTCAATATGACATCACCAATCGGGTCTTATGACATCATTTTCGTTGTTCACCACACCATCTCCACGCCAACCTGAAACCGGTGGCTACGAGAGTGTCTGGTAAGCTACGATACGCAAGCCACAACTCAAACTTCACTTCGTTTTCGAACCACGATGGTCCTAAACAAGCAAATCGCCGCCTACTTCTTCACGTCACTTGGTCAAGGGCTGTATCGCTGCAATATTTGCGGCAACGAGCGGAAACAAACTGGAGGGACAGGGCACTCTAATCTCAAGTCGCATTTGGACGCGAAACATGCGGGGTATCACACTTCGTTCGAGAGCAGTTCGGGTCACTCACTTCAATTATACGGCTTCGTATCCGAAGAAGCTAGCCATATGTTCCAGTGGCTTCAGTGGGTTATCATGAGGAACATGCCGATCCACGAAATTGAAGACACTCTCACAAGAGCCATGAGCAAGCTACGGCCTGACACTGTGAAGGCTGTAAAGAAGTGTCTTGAAGGACTGGCAACCAAAGTCAGTCGTAAGCTTAAAAAGGAATTGGGAACGCTCTTCGGCCTCATGTTTGATGGATAGTCACAAGCTGGGGTGCACTATGTCGCGCTTTTCGCTGTTTACGAAGCAGATGGAAAGCTTCGCGTGCCTTTCCTGGGCCTGCCTTCTCTGGCAGATGGCTCTCAGACAGCAGTCGCACATGTAGAACTGTTTGACAATATCGTGGACGTTTATGATAATTCAAAGGACATGGTGGGTTTCCTGGTAGGAGACAGCTGCAACACCAACCACTCAGTCGCGAACAAGTTAAGTGTTCCACTTGTTGGGTGTGCAAGCCACCGACTCAACCCCGCTGTGAACAAGTACCTGGCTCTGCATGAGTCGTTGCTCTCCGAAGTGAACGACCTTATGGTCGGGCTACGCCACGAAAACAACTACGCTGAGCTTAAAAGCACACCGAACTTCTTCCGGTAAAGCGGAACGTGACTCGCTGGTCGTCCACGTTTATAATGGTGCAACGGTGTATCCGAATCCGAACTGAGATCAAAAGGTGGAAGCTGTTGAAGAGCTTATCCCGACTGGCGCGAAGCACCGGAAAATACTTGACCTCTTCGAGCATATGAAGAAGTTTGAAAGCATCCGCCTACGATTACAGCGAGACGAAACGGACAT